AAAGGAGAGCTCTGAAGACAAACCAAGAGTTCTGCACTCAAAGAGTTCTTCTAGTCCCACTTGGGTACTACATTAGGAGGGATTCTAAGATGGCCCACACAATTTCCACCCTGTTAAGCCCATGATTAGGGTTGCAAGACAAAAGGGATTTTGCAGGTGTGTAACTCATCAGGTGACTCTGAGTTAATCAAAAGGGAGGTTTTCCAGGTGGGCCAGGCTAATCTTAAAGCCTTTTACATGCTGATCCAGAGATCAAAAACAGGAAAGTTAAGAGAGACTTCTGAAGTCAAAGAGATAAGGTCCTGGTAGCCTACAAGAAAGCAAACATCCATGTCACTGAGCAACACACTTGGAACAAACTCTAAGAGAGTTAGGTGACAGCAGGAAAGAAAACAGGGACTTAGGTTCCTCAGGTGCAAGGGACTGAATTCTGCCAAAATGAACTTGGAAGAGGACTCTGAGGTCCAGATGAGAACCACAGCACAGTCAATGCCTCAACTGCAACCTTTGTGTGGCACTGAACAAAGAATCCAGACCATTCATAACCAGAAAGTCTAAGAATAAATGGGTGCGGTTTTAAGCTGCTAAGTTTGTGACACCTGTTATGCATCAAAAAAGAACTAATACAGACCCTGCTTGCCTACAAAAGCTGCTTCTATCCTGGCAACAAGTAGGGAGACAAGCAAACTTGAAGGGAAAAAAAATAAATAAAAGCCTGACATGATTTCTCACTCACTCTGACTAGAGATTTTGTTCAATTGCTGCTTGGTGTGCAATACATCTTCCAACATAATAATTCTGAAAACTGTGAACAATAGAAATAGAAGTTTATTTCCAACTTTAGAAAAGTACTTTGACAAGCGTGCAGATATAAGTCACTGGGTGTCTAGGCTACCTGGATGTCTGCCAAAGTTGTCCCAGCACCTGGAGAAATACATCCCCAAGCTAACCTCAGAAATGAGCACAAGGTCATGACTCCTGTTCTTCCTCAGTACCCAGAGTTCTTACTTCATAAACTACAATCTCTCATTTTTGTTCAGAGTAAGAATACCTCAGAGGCTCTCTAAGCTACAAAAAAGAAGGTCCTTCCCGAGTAATTACAACCTTGACCCCTAAAAATGTGGACTCTAACAGTCCCAACACCTCCTTAATAAAGATGCAACAAGCCAAGGCTATAGGCGTTTCCTGCTGGGAACTGTAGTTCTCCCCGCGACCTTCAACCACTGGCTGCGCGAAACCTATCACGAGCCCAACCGGCAACCCGAGCGCCAGCAGCCACTATTGGTCCCTGCCTGGGCCAGCGCGCCGCTGATTGGACGACGCGTCCCCGAAGCCGTGCTGACCGTCCTGCGCCCGCCTCCCCACCACCTTCTCTCCACACCCCATCCCGCTTAGAGCAGTAACCCTCAAATCATCCCAGTCGGGCGAACCCCCTAATTAACTGCTTCACGGGTCGGCCCAGGACTCCCGCGATGAGGGCGGCCGCGAAACACGCCTCTCTCCCGGGGCCTAGTCAGAGCGAAAGCCTCTCCCATTTTCCGCTGGTTGGCCGGAGTCCGCCTCACCACGCGCTCTCCCAGCGCCCCCGCGCTCACCTGGGCGGCGGCGGTCACACCCGATAACTGGCAGGCCCGCAGCATTTCGGCCGGGCTCGGGCACAGCTGGTGTACGAGGGAGCTGCCGCGGAGGCGTTAGTAAGGGAGAGCGTGCGTGAGGGCGTCCCTGCGTCCGTGCCGCCTCTCCGCGCCGGTCGTACCGGAAGGGCAACAAACCCCGCTGCGCACGCGCAGCCCCCTTTCTCGACCCCGCCCAGGCCGCCCTGAGAGGCGCCCCCCCCCCACCGACCCCGGGCGGAAAAGGCTATTTCTCCTTCCGGGTCGCTTTCGGAATTGTGGTCTGTATCCGCTAGAAGGGGTTAGTAGGTGAACCGGGAGGGTGAGGGGAAGCGCGAAACTCGGGCTTTGATCAGTGCGGAAAGAACTTATTATTCGTCGAAGAATTCAAGGAAAAAAACATCCCAGCCGCATTTGTCAGCTGGGTATTTCGTAGAAAGCAGACGGTTTGGCGAAAGTTACGTAAACAATGGTGTTTTGGTTTGCGTGTTTGTTTGCTTTGACAGCCTTTCTTCAGGGAGTCATCCTGATTATGGGAGATTGGGAGGACGAACACTGGAGAGACGTTTGTGCGGAACGCGTTGTTCGCGCATCTAATAAATGGCAGAGCAGGGATAGAAACCCACATCCTTCGGGTTCCACCGCTTCTACTCCTAGATTTAAACCACACTAATTTTCCCACTACGTTTTCCTTTTACAAAGATAATTTTGATGGAATGGGTCGGAAGTTAAGGAGATCAGTGTAGAAGAACTCTTCAAAGCATTCCACGGAGTCTGTAACCAATATTTAGTATGTTAAATATTGAACACAGTATTCAATACTGTTATTACTAATAATGATCTTACCATCACAATATCAAAAGAAACTGAATAACGTGTATAGCCGTTGCATTTGCAAAGTGCTTTTAGGTCTTAACTAGGCTATTTATCACAGCATGGTGTTCTTGGAGTTACGGTTTTACAATATGGTGGTATCACAGTATGATACTAATCCCACTTGTAAAATGGAGAAAGGAATTTGAAAATTACCTAAAATCAAATACTTATGTCCGTATATATTCATTGCTTTTCAGGGTACTTTAAAAATTATATTACGCTCTCTAATTTCATATCCCCATCACCTAACAGCCCCCAAAGCAGTCTCCCATTTTTAAAAGTAGTTTTAGCAATTAAATTGCAGTCTCCCCAACCCCTCCCACCCACCCCCACCCCGTCCCTGCCCACTGCTGTTATACGGGGTGATGCCAGTGTAATGAGTTTTCTAATATCTTGGCCATAAACCTCTCAATACCAAATAAGCAATTTAAATCTACCCTAACCGTGTGTGGCCCAGCCACATCCTGGGCCTGAACATCGTTACCAACTTCAGCTTCCAAATCTCAAACTCCAAAATTGATTTTTGTTGTTTCCTCATCTCCCATTTAACCAAATCCTTAATCTTCATACTCCACGTGCAATTTATGGATTTTTTTTTGCTTTGAAATGGACTCCCCCAAGGTAACATACAAATTTAAATCATTCCTCTGTTCAAAAATGTGCAAGGACTTCCATTATCAATTCAAAGAGTATTTGTGAAATGTCTCAGTACTTTTTCAGTACACGAGAATATGTTTAAGGCTCAATTTAGCCATCTTAGGTGGGAGATTAAGAAAGCAATGATAGTAGTCAAAGCTCATCACCCACTTACATACCCTAAAACCTAGAAGAATTAAAGGATATGATACTCCTCAGTTGGTTCTCAGAATGTGAACGGGGACCACTAGGGAGTCTGAAACCTTTTCAGAAGATCCATAAAAATCAAAACTACCTTCATAATATTAAGATATTATTAGCTGTTTTCACTCATTTCTCATAATTTTACAGTAGAATTTTTCCAGAAGCTAGGTGACAAGTGAAATTACAACAGACAATGCATAAGCAAATTTCAGAATCCAGCTATTAAACCATACTTTAAAGAGATTTGCAGAAAAAGTTAATGATACTGTTCTCAGTATTTTTTTTTATTTTGGGAGAGTTACTTTTCATGAGTGTATTTTTGTTATGAAAATCATAGTTTTTTTACTAAGTATGGTAGGCAGAATAATTATTCCTGAACATAGCATATTTTCCTAATCCCTGGAACCTATAAATGTTACCTTACATGACAAATGAACCTTGCAGATGTGATTAAGACTCTTGCAACGAGGAAATTATCCTGGATTATCTGCACAGGGCCAATGTATGGTTCTTCTCTACAACCTCCAGAACAGAGCCCTGGATATTTTGATTTAGCCTTATGAAACTCATTTTAGATTTATGACCTACAGAACTGTAAGATAATTTGTGTTGTGTTAAGCCACTAGGTTTGGGGTACTTTGTTACAGCAGTAATTGGAAATATAATTAAAAGCTCTTTGGAGTCCTCGGTTTTTAAGTATGTAAAGAGGTACTAAGACCAAAAGGTTTGAGAATCACTGCTATATAAAATCCTGTAACTTTCTGTCCTGGCTCCCTGTCTTCTCATCTTAGCTCTTCCTGTTCTTATTGCCAAGAATGACCTTGCTCTTGTTAAAATCCATCCCATTCTTTAAGACTTGTGTTACGTTCTCTTCCCTCATCATCTCAATCAGAATGCCTTCTCTCCTTAACTTCGAACTGCTCCTGTGAATCATCTGTCTTGTATTTATGTTCTGCACTTGTCTCATTAAAGGTGAACTCCTTGACACCAGTGTTGATCCTTATTCATTTCAATCAGTATCTGGTGTCATTTATTGTATATGCATGGAATCTTAACCAACAAGGATAGGTTAGAGATTTGTTTTCTGTTTGAGTGAACATTGGAAAAATGTATGATCACTAATTATCAATAAAATAAGGAACATAGAATTGTTTAGGAAGGATTGAGATGCTGTTCTACCAAATGACAGTGTTAACGATTAGAAGAAACTGTGTGTGATATCCTTAGGATATGTACATTCATTTAATTATGATTGGCATTCAATTTTTTAAAAATTTTAATAATATTGCTATGTCCCATTCATGCAGCCTAACATCTAGCAGCTTTGAAAGGAATATGTTATTTTTTGAAAGTTAATAAAATGAGCAAAATGAAATTGTGTAACCTTTATTTATTTATTTATTTATTTTTTGGAATTGTGTACTTTAGACGTCAAATGCTCACTGAAAATTTAAGAGCCTACCCAATGCCAGACACAGTACATAGGTACTTGTTCTTCATAGGCGGTGAAGAACTGCTTGGCATATAGAAGACATTCAATAAAAGTTGCCTTGACCGTTACTTTTTTCGTTGTTGTTTTTTTTTTTTTCCTCCCCTTCTTTTTTTCTTCGACTCCACCCATACCTTTTCCTTAATTTCCTTTCGCCCTGGAGTTTTAGACCCAATGCGGCTGCCGTAGGGCGGCGTGGCAAGATGGCGGCCCCTGTCTTTGCTCGTGCCGTGAAGGCCGCCTCAGGTCAGTAGAAAGCTGCGCGCTCGATTTAGCCCCTCACAGAAGGCGGGACTGGTGTAGGATGGAGTAGGCGCTTAGCGTGAGCGTGGAGGTTAACGGGGGAATAAAGGCCAGAGGATTGTAATGAATTTTCTACAGGGCTGCCCGTGTTCGGCCGGTCGCATGGGACATTGCGGACGCTCTTGGACCCTCGCGGACCTACGTGTGTCCCCAGGTTTCCGCTTCCTTAGTGGCTCCTGGTCCTTCTGCCTTAGCCAGAAAAAGGACCCGACGGACTGGGGCGGAGGGGGGGTGAGTGAAGGAGACAGAAAAGTCCCTCTAACCTTCCGATTGAGAGTGTAGGAGTCGCCATTCATGACCTTTGGCCTTGAAGTAATTTCTCAATCTCAGGTTCTGCGGCTCTACAGTGAGGACGATACCGTGTACCTGAGAACTAAACGAGCTCGAGCGTGTAGAGCGCTCTGCGTAGTGCCTGGCACGCAGCAAGCGGGCGTGTGGGAGATTCACACGAGGTGCGGGAAACGGGCGATTGTTTGGCCTCTCAGCCCCCGGCACAGGGGCAGTCGGTCCGGAGTGAAGGCAATTAAATTGTCTTCGCTCTAAGGAGTTTTTGCAAAAATATTATTTAAGTATGGTAAGATTGTCAGTAAATCACTTAAAGGCAAAATAAATTAGGATAAAATCCTGTGGAAGAAGAATAGAAATAAAGGAAAACACTACAATGTAAGAATTTCCACCTGTTACAGAAGAGTATGTTTATGTGGGGTATTTTTAAATTGTGAAAATAACATATAAAGAAAAACGTATGTGACATACACAAGTGGCTTAACAAATAATTCTAAAGCAAACACCCAAGGCAGGACACAGAACACTACCAGGAACCTCTTCTCCATCTCTGTGCTTCTCATCAAAATTCCCTCTTTCTGCTAATTGTAAATAGTAGCCTCATTTGATTGTTAACCTTGCCTTTTTTTTTCTGTTAATAGTTTTAACATCTATATATGCATCTCTAAGTTTAGTTTTGTTTAGTTTTAGTTTTAGTATTGTTTAGTTTTTCCTGTTTTTGTACTTTACATGAATGGAATCATACAGTATGTACTCTTGTGTCTTTTAATTTGTGAAATTCGTTCATTTTGGGTGTAGCTGTAGTGGTTTCTTGTTCCTATATAATAGTCTCTTATTCGACCACCATTTTACCAACGCTGGGCATTTCAGTGTTTTCAGTTTGGGTTGATTAGAGATCCAAAGCTGATTTTCCTTGTGTCCAGGTACCTGAGTGCAAACGTTTCTCTATCGTGTGTGTGTGTGTACACTTATAAAACGGGCTGTGGAATTGCTGAATCGGAATATGTGTACATTCAACATTGCCTGATACTGTGAAAGTGATGTGCTTCTTTAAAGTCACCCCAGGCTCACCTGCCTGGCTCAGAAGGTTAAGCATCAGATTAGATTTCGGCTCAGGTCATGATCTCAGGGTTGTAGGATTGAGCCCTGAGTGGGGCTCCAAGTTCAGTAAGAAGACTGCTTGAGATTCTCTCCTTCTCCCTCTCTAAGATAATAAATAAATCTTAAAAAAAAAAAAAAAAAAAGAAAAAAAGAAATAGGGCGCCTGTGTGGCCTATTTGGTTAAGCAGCCAATTCTTGATTTTAGCTCAGATCATGATCTCAGGATCATGGGATTGAGCCCCTCGTGGAGCTCTGCATTCTCTGGCTCCCTCTGCCCCACCCCCAACTTGTGCAGTCCTCTTTCCAAATAAATAAATAAAGAAACCTTTAAAAAAAAAAAATAAAGTCACCCCAGCACTGCATGTGCCACATCCTCACCAACAGTTGATATTGTTAGACAAGCAAATTTTTGTCAATCTTGTGGGTATTTAGTGATGTCTCATTGTGGTTTAACTAGCATTCCCCTGCTTAGTAATGAGCTTGAATACTTTTACATGTATATTGGCTACATATGAATTTTATGAAATATCTACTTAAATATTTTGCCCATTCTAATATTGAGTTGTCTTATTGATCCATAGTAGTTCTTTTTTTTTATTTTTAAGATTTTATTTATTTATTCATGAGAGACATAGAAAGAGAGGCAGAGACACAGGCAGAGGGAGAAGCAGGCTCCACGTAGGGAGCCCGATGTGGAACTCAATCCCAGAACCCTGGGATCACGCTCTGAGCCAAAGGCAGATGCTCAACCAATGAGCCACATAGGCATCCCCATACTAGTTCTTTATGTATTCTGAATATGTATCTTTTCTCACTTAAGTGTGTTTCCAGTATCTTTTCCCATTCTGGCCAGCCCTTTTAGTTTATTTAAAGTATCTTTTGATGAAAAGAAGTTCTCATCTTCAGTGACTTGAATTTATTTTCCTTGTGTTTTTTAGATAGATGATGTGGGTGGGTATCGACTCACTATGATATTTAGATTTCATTGAAAGATTTCATTAAAAGTGATTTAACAGCTTATTTTTAAATGTCAGTATTCCAAATATTCTGGAAATTATAACCTTTATAACAACTTAAACTATTTAAAATTTTAGATGTTCCTTAAAATTTTGTGAAAGGGTACATAATTTTTCAGAATTCTTTCAAAAGTTATAGGGTCAAAAAATCTTGAAGACCACTACTTTAGACAGTCATACTCACTTCACTCCCCACTCTCCATTGTTTTGATTCCTGCCACACAGAGCTATTTATTTGTAAGTCCCCAAACCTACCACACTGTTTTTTGACTCTTCACCGGTGCACTCCCTGTTCCCTCTGCCTTTTCTTATTCCTTCAGAACTCTGGTTTTGTGTCACCTTCTTTGTTAAAGTGTCTGTGTTCTCCATATAAGAATGTGTTTAGAGAAAGCCAGTGTGTATTAAAATGCTCAAATTTAAAAAATAATAATTAATTAAAATGTTCAAACGGCAGAAAACTGGAGGAACAGTTAATTACTGCCATTGATTTGTGTGCTACCCTTTTGCTAACACATTCTGTTAGACTGTATTCAGTTTTTACAAGCTAAATCATGGTGTTGGTCCACCCAATGGTATGATGGATAAGGCCTTCCAAGTAATTTTCCCAGGAACTGCTATCAAGCAAGGTTCACCCTTCCTTAATTTTTTCTAATTTCAATGTATTTATCACAGATTTTGTCTTGTTAATTTTGATCCGTTTTACCAAGATCACTTTAGTCCTGATAGTCTTGGGACTTTGCTTTTACGCAGATTTGACGAACATATTTTATGCAGCTTTAAGGCCTCCATAAAAATTGAGGAAAATATAGTCAATTAGGGATATAGGAAAAGATGTTCATCAGAACAGCAGTCAGCTAATTTGGAGATAGTTTCTAGTCAGCTTGGAATTTACCTAACTGTACTGTTATCCAGCCCACATTTATTTCTTTAGAATATAAAGAAACCTTTTCACATGCCTTCCTAAAATCAGGATACACTGTGTCTAGACATACTCATGATTTCCCAGGTTAGTGACTACATCACAAAATGAAAATGCTGCTCAGCGGTTGAGCATCTGCCTTTGGCTCAGGGCTTGATCCCGGGACCTGGGATCGAGTCCCACATCGGGCTCCTTGCAGGGAGCCTTCTCCCTATGCCTATGTCTCTGCCTCTCTCTCTCTCTCTCTCATGAATAAATAAATAAAATCTTTTTTTTTAAAAATGAAGTTCTTTTTAAGGAACAGTTCACTTCTAGTTCACAATGTAGTTTTGTTTTTTCTGTGCACTTTCTGTTTATCCATTCTAACTTTTTTTTTCTTATGAATGTGTCTGTAATTTACCCATTTATATGATCTAGACTCTTACCTGCTCACTTTCTTCAGAGGTGGTTTCTAAGAATTTCTGAGAGTTTTTGTTTTGTTTTGTTTTAACCAAGACACCCAAGTTCTGATGACCTGTGAAAATTGGGACCTTTTCTTGTCAGCAGTCCTCCTCTTCAATTCACTTAATATTTCAAAGATTACCTCTTAGCTTGTAGTCATGACTGCAAATATTTACAGTTTTTTTTTTTTTTAGGAATCCAACTTAGTTTCCTTATTTATTTATTTATTTATTTATTTATTTATTTATTTATTTATTTATTTATTTATTTATTTATTTATGATAGTCACAGAGAGAGAGAGAAGCAGAGACACAGGCAGAGAGAAGCATGCTCCATGGACCGGGAGCCTGACGTGGGACTCGATCCCGGGTCTCCAGGATCGTGCCCTGGGCCAAAGGCAGGCGCCAAACCGCTGCGCCACCCAGGGATCCCAATATTTACAGTTCTTTGAAATATAAGTAATTATACCTGAAGACTTGAATGCCTTGCACTAAGTAGAGAATTTCACTTCTAAGTTCCCAGAGGGCCTCTCTCAGGTCTCCTGAATCGTGGATTTCAGCTAACTCATTAATGTTTATGCTACCCTTTTTAGTTTGAAAATTGCTATCTTAGATGGAAAACAGAATAGCAAAATAATGAGTTTTAAGTATTCAGTCCTTCTCCTGCTATCTGTTAATATTATACCATTTTTGCTAAGCATTTTTCTGCTTATTATCTGCTAATATCATTCATTAAATCTCTCTGTGCCAAGTGCTCTTCCTAGCACTTTTCATGTTTTATCTCATTTAATTACCTCCCCATGACTAACCTTTTTTTTTTTTAAAAGATTTTATTTATTTATTCATGAGAGACACAGAGAAAGAGAGAGAGGCAGAGACCAAGGCAGAGGGAGAAGCAGGCTCCATGCAGGGAGCCCCACGTGGGACTCGGGACTCGATCCCAGGTCTCCAGGATCACACCCTGGGCTGAAGGCAGGCGCTAAACTGCTGAGCCACCTGGGCTGCCCCTCCCATGACTAACCGTACTTAAATTTGGGGAAACTGGGGCGTAGAAGGATTAAGTAACTTGCCCTTGGTCACAAAGCTAGTTAGTAGTAGAGCTAGAATATGAATACAAATCATCTGACTCAAACACCAGCACTCCAGTTCCACACTATACTGCCTCTTATTTGTTAGGTAAAATCAGTGTAGTGGACAAAAAGGCAGTGAGTGGTTCTAAGTCCTGGCTGAATAGCAGTTTGGGGAACTTTATTTTTTAATCAACTGTTGAGGTATACTTTACAGACCCTAAAATTACCTGTTTTGTGAACACAATTTGATGATTTTTAATATATTTAATAGGATGTGCAACCATCACCACAATCCAGTTTTGGGGGCATTTCCATCATCCTGTGGAGCTTTTCCAGTGTACACATTCATGAGTCCCACACTAGACTCAGAATCTGAGTGGAGTCAGTGCCCTGTGAGTGATTCTGCTTTGTAGCCCTGGACTCTTACTTTGGCAACAGTGTGAAGAATAGGTAAGGAGGACTACATTCACTCCATGCATCTAGCCTCCCCAAGCCCTACCCCATGAAGTGCCTTCTGATCTGCACCCAGGTATAGCCATACTGTCAGGCACAGCCTCTGGCAGATCCAGTCCCCGCATGAGTCATGTTTCAGCCCCCTTGCCTTTGTGTATGTTCATCCTACCTGGACTCTCTACCTCCTCCTCTTGTGGCCTATTCATTTTCTAGAGGAGCGCTCAAGTACCTCTTTTGTTTTCTTTATGACTCCTTTTGCCACTCTGTTGCCTCTTCAGGGAATGGCCAGGCTTTCTCATCTCTGCCTCACCATTGCACTGTGTGCTAGGGAGCCCTGTCTCATCAGAGTATAAGATCTGGCAGGTGGGACTTCATGTTACAAACATTTTTGCCCTCTCTTGCTGAACATAGAACTAGGACATATCAGAGTAGATTGTGGTGATGGTTATACAACTTTGTAAATTTATTAAAAACCACTGAATTACACAAATGGGTAAATTTGTGGTATGTAAGTCTTACCTTAGTAAAGTTGAATCTGATGCTTACCTTGTTTTGATACATTAATTTAAATATCTGGATGCATATTTTTGGAGTATCGTATTAAACAAGTATGCTGCTCTCTCTTTATAGGAGTCTTACGGCCCCTGGTGTCTTCAGCCTATCAAAACCATGTCAAGAATGCCTGTCTTAGTTCTGCACAGTCCACCCGACATTTTAGTTCTCTTCAGACACCAATTGTTTCCTCTGCTCCCAGACTTAGCACATGTGTTGGAAACCTGACATGTGGGCATACTGCAGCAATCCTCAGCAGGTGGAGTATGTCTCAGTAAACATTATGCTTAGACAAAAATTGTAAAACACTCATGTCTGCAAAGACATTTCAAAGCAGATGGTACTCTTTGCCTACCTGCAGTTTATTTTGTAGCCTTTGGCTGCTGGAGTGGGGAGAACATGATTGATAGCCATATACCTACATGGCAGCAGCTGGGACTACTGAACAGAGCACACCTCCAGTATTCTAGATGTAATTTCCTAGATGGAATCTGTCAGCCAAAGCAGAGGGTGAATAAGATGCTCAGCATGCAAGGCTGGCATTCATTTAGTCAACAAATATTCAGCTAAGAACCCCTGGGTACCCAGTTCTCAGCAGAAAGGATACTAAGATAAACTGAAGTCCTCAAAGACTTTATAATCTAGCAGGCAGATAAGAAGTCAGGTGACTAAAATATATGGGATAAATTCTCTCATAGGGATTGAGAGGGTAGTTGATGGAAGACTTACAAGCTGGCAATAGATGCTATTCTTATTTATGCTTAGTGCCATGGATCATTTGAAGTAACAGTGTCTATTAAAGTCAGTTTTATCCAGTGAAACTCCTTTGCTCATTTTTAAGTATAGAAATGGATGTTATCCTTTAATGAGTCTTATTGATAAGTTATAATTTTTAAAAATATATTTTAGAGTGGCCCCCTTGCTTTCAAATGTCCTGAAGTTACCAGTGAGAACTGTAACATACTTCAGTTCAAGGAAAGGGAAGAGAAAAACTGTGAAAGCTGTCATCTATAGGTTTCTTCGACTTCACTCTGGCCTTTGGCTAAGGAGGAAGGTGAGTCTTCACAATGTTATTTGATTGAAAAGGAGTGGGAGCACATGAAAATAAAGCAGAATTCAGTGAGCCTATTCATTGACATATCTTCCTCCCATTTACCAGTAGCTTTCATAGTGCTGTGCTTAAGTACCAGCTTGGCAGGCATCCCTTAATGTAAATGAATCCATGTGAGGAAAACATATTTACGCATTCATAATGGTAAAAGTCTTCACTGTAGGATGGGTCCATCTCAGGTCTTCCGCATGTCTGGTGTATCTAGTGATCACCAGAAGCTCTATGACAGCCCCCAGGTGTAATAGCCTGTGGAGAGACCGTCTTTAAGCCTAGAGTGTTAGAGCGGCAGAGTCGCCTTCAGCAGGGACTTCATGGTGTGACTCAGATTGGGGGCTAAAAAGCTTTTCCGCCTCCTTTGGATTAGATTCTCTAGGGCTTGGTCTTTTTTTTTTTTTAATATACATTTTTTAAGATTTATTTATTTATTCATGAGAGACACACAGAGAGAAAGAGGCAGAGACACAGGCAATGGGAGAAGCAGGCTCCATGCAAGGAGCCCGATGTGGGACTCGATCCTGGGTCTTCAGGACCATGCCCTGGGCCGAAGGCAGGCACTCAACCGCTGAGCCATCCAGGCGTCCCATGGTTTGGTCTTTTTGGCAGAACATTAACCCCACATACACTTTTTTAACTATGTTTTTCTCTCTGGTAGTGTGTATGATTGAGGTTCATAGCAGACGGAACCCTAATGCCTACTCTGACCTGGGACCACTGCCTCTCAGGGAGCCTCTGACAAATTATTCCTATTCTGTCCTCTCCCACAGCATGTCAAGAGCGTGCATGTGGGCTTTTTTACTAGTGTCTTTATTCTCAGAAGCAGAGTAGCTGATAATTAGAAAGATTCTGAAGACTATAGAGTTTTGCAAAACTTTGAGTTTGATAACTATTCAAATTTTAATTCCCTTTCACTACTCAGAAGTTAACAATTCTTTAAAGATCAAAATTTGTTTCCCCCTAAAAATAAAATACTTAATTGGTAGGATTTTCACTAGGTGAAAGGTTGAAAGGATTGTCTCCTATCTTTTAAAAAATCCTACGTTTAAGGTAAATGGGTTAATTGGAACTCTCGGCTCATTTCCCTTTCAGAACAATACTGTGGTAGTTCATTTGTTACATTAATAAATAGAAGCTCATGTAATCCCTAAGTAGCTGAACTCCGTCATTCACGTAATAGTTTTAAGTTTTGTGAATTTTGGACCATTGGACAATTTTCTCCCCTTTGTTGTCATACTGATTACTTCCAGGTCTTCATCTGGCCCTAGATAAAATAAGCTAGGTGGATTTTTGTTTTGTTTTGTTTTTTGCCTTCCTTCTACATCCCTTTTATTGGGCCCTGTTAACCCTCCTGTTAATATAAAAGACCTGATCAAATTTTCTAATCATAATACCTAGTCCCCATTCAGGGCCCCAAAAAGTATTCTATGTGTGGAATGCCCTTCTTCATCAAAATGTAGTATTAAGAGGAAAACAAAAAAGCTGATTGGGTTAATTTATATTAATGTATAAAAACTGAAAATACTTTCTGCAGCAGTAGAAAGTAAATGAATTCATGTGAGGAAAACATATTTACGCATTTCCCTTCCATTTCTGAACCTAGAGAGTATCTAAAAAGCTTGAAGCATTTTCACAGTAGTTGCATTCCATAGAGTAATGATCAGAGGATACTAGTGGTAATAGGCAGAAGAGCAAATTAGCTGTAAGTCAGAGATCCACAGTAACCCAGCTTGGCTTACAAATTAGAAAATTATTACACAAATAGAGGGATTTGGGTTTGAATCTTTTATTTTTTAAGACTTTTATTTATTCATGAGAGACACAGAGAGAGAGAGAGAGAGGCAGAGACATAGGCAGAGGGAGAAGCAGGCTCCCCTGCAGGAAGCCCGATGCAAGACTCCATCCTGGGACTCCAGGACCATGCCCTAGGCCGAAGGCAGCTGTTAAACCACTGAGCCACCCAGGGATCCCCAAATCTTTTGAATTAAATTGTAAGCAATGAGTAGAAAAAAATCTAATCCTTGGCATTTTAAAACCAGAACTCTTAAATAATGTTTCCTTATTTCTGAGTTTAATTGTACTGTAGAAGCTGCTGGTCACAGTGATGACACCAAGACATGTCGGAAACCCATTAGTGTAGTGCCCTAGGGACCCCTTGGCTTGAAAGAGTGAAGGGCTCTTAGCAATAGCTTAAGTTCTAATCTCTCCTCCCCTGTAACTTTCTGTGTGGTTTTAGCCACATATTAACCTTGGTGGCACCTAAGGTCTCTTCTAGTCTAAACAGACTATGATTGTAGATTTTATATTCAATTTAATTTTTCTTTAAAAATTAATTTTTTTCTTTTTAATTCAAAAATTCTTCAAAATTAATAATGCTTTGATAGTGTATATGGTAGTTCTGGGTCAAACATACGAGTTAACCATTCCTTCACCACTCCCAATAGTAGTTTGACTGTATTCATTTGTTATTCCTTAGAAAAGTACTTACTACAGAAATTGCTCTTAGTGTGAAAGGAAGAAACCAAACAATATACTTGAGAACTGTGTTTTGTCAGCTTTTGTAATACTTAGTCCCCTAAATGAGCACAGATGTTATCAACTAGCCAGTAATGCCCTTGTTCATCCTCCACATTGGAAAATAGTAGAATAGTGGTTAAGAACTCTTACTAGTTCTGTGACCTCAGTCTGCTAGGAAAACTTCTCTAATCAGTGATTGTTTCTCTTTAATCTGCAAAATAAGAATAATAGTTTGTTGTTAAAGATTGTTGAAGAAGAAAAAAAAAATGTTGAAGAGATAGATAATAAGGTATGCATATAAAGTTAGTGATTATATTTATATATCATTATTCTGTACTTTGCCTACCACACTCATTTAGCTTTATTTTCTGTTGTTTTAATTTAATCTTTTTTCAAAGTATTAAATTTTAATACTTTTTCAAATTGCACACCCCTCACTGAGAATTACATCTTTCTGAAAAATGTACCAGCCCCAATGAAAGTCTCATCTTTGGGATCCCTGGGTGGCGCAGCGGTTTGGCGCCTGCCTTTGGCCCAGGGCGCGATCCTGGAGACCCAGGATCGAATCCCACGTCGGGCTCCCAGTGCATGGAGCCTGCTTCTCCCTCTGCCTGTGTCTCTGCCTCTCTCTCTCTCTCTCTCTGTGTGACTATCATAAATTAAAAAAAAAAAAAAAAAAAGTCTCATCTTTGTTCCCATTGGGCCTATAAGCTGTAAACAGTGAAGTTATCTGCTGTTTCCTATATAACACCATGTTTTGAATGTCTTTATAATATCATCTAACAGGCTGGTTACAAGAAAAAATTATGGAAAAAGACGACTGCAAGAAAAAGGCGCTTGAGAGAATTTGTGTTCTGCAATAAAACCCAGAGTAAGCTCTTAGATAAAATGACAACGTCCTTCTGGAAGAGGCGAAACTGGTATGCTGACGATCCTTATCAGAAGTATCATGATCGGACAAACCTGAAAGTATAGATCAGAAGTTTTATGACTTCCTAGTTATTGAATATGCATCTTTATGTATATGATGTCTTTGCAAAATGGAATAAATACAAAACTTGAAGTTGTGCCAATTGGTATGGAAACACAGAGCTCCAACATTAAACTTACTAAAGTTTCAACATTTAATGTATTAAACATTTTCAAATTTGTTCAGAGAAATAACAATTTAAAATTGTTGATTATTTTAAACAAATGGTAATGGTTTAACTGTTTCCAATTAGGCTTATTTTGTTGCAAGGAATTTCAGGTTAAGGCAGGCAAAGAAGACTATAAAGCTAACAAGTGAGCTCCAGCAGTGTGACATTATTACTACTATTATTTTAAAGATTTTATTTATTTATTCATGAGAGACAGGGAGAGAGAGAGGCAGAGACATAGGCAGAGGGAGAAGCAGGCTCCATGCAGGGAGCCTGATGCAGGACTCAAACTGGGTTTCCAGGACCACGACCTAAGCCAAAGGCAGACACTCAACCACTGAGCCACCCAGGCGTCCCTGACATTATTTTAAGTATGCATGCCTGGAAACTCAGGAGCCACCTCACCAACTGCACTCCCCACCCACATCTTAACCCCCAGGCCTCAGAAAGAATAGAAATTATAGGACATTCCCAAATCCAAGGCACCTCTTAGGGCCTCAGCAGTGGACGATGGTAGACTTAGGCTTGGGGTCTGCCTTTGTATGTGACTCAATTTCTGCCCCCATAATAACTCTGGCTTGTACCTGTCTCAGGTTGTTTTCTGCATCCTAACCCTCAGCCCCTATCTCCAGTCTAACAGACTAACTGGGCCAGCTGTCTCTTTATACCAGGTCTCCTCAGAAGTCACTGACCCACCCTGGCTCAGAAGTCAGGAGCCCACCCTGGCTCACTTGGCTGTGTTAATAAGCAGGTTCACATGGAGCAAAAAATAGTTATGTGGGCAGTTTCACTTAGAGGTGAGCATGGGGTGGCAACACAAGTCTAGTATTCTATATTGTGTTCATAACAGTTCTCAGTATATTGAGACAGGATTTTTATGGAGAGAAGAGTAAATGAAACAGCCTTTCAGTATGTCCTATTCATGAAACAGAAGAGGCTTTATAGGTGAAGACAAACATTAATTATCCAAGAGTTGAAACACACTTTTTTTTTAAGATTTATTTATTTATTTATTTATCTATTTATTTAAGAGAGTGTGCAAGAAGTGGGGAGGAACAGAGGGAGAGGGACAAGCAGACTCCATGCTGAGCACAGAACCTGATGTGGGGCTCCATCTCAACCCTGAGATCATGACCAGAGCTGAAATCAAGAGTCAGACACTTAACCCACTGTGCCACCCAGGCACTCCAAGGCATTATTTTCTAAATGTTCGTTTACCCACGTGAGATTTCATATTTTTAATTGTGAGAATAAACATTTTCCAAAGACACATTGTAGAAACTAAGGCAAATCAGTCATTTTGGAAATGATGCAAGAGTTAAGCATTGTTCACTTGAAGAGGGTTGGATAAGAGGCATTGAAGAAAATTCTGTTCGCAGTGTGGTTAAAGTCTAGGGTGGTAGTTCTCAGCTATCCCATCAGAGTCCTGTAGGAAGCATTTTCAAACAACAGCATTTTGCCTGGTTGATTTTTTTTTTTTTTTTTTTTAATTTGTGATAGTCACAGAGAGAGAGAGAGAGAGACACAAAGACATAGGCAGAGGGAGAAGCAGGCTCCATGCACCGGGAGCCTGACATGGGATTCGATCCCGGGTCTCCAGGATCGCGCCCTGGGCCAAAGGCAGGGGCTAAACCGCTGCGCCACCCAGGGATCCCTTGCCTGGTTGAAAAACCATTACAGTCCTTAACCAAATTACAATGGGGTTACATCCCAGTAAACCTGTTGTAAGTTGAAAATATCATTAAGTCGAAAATGCATTTAATACACCTAAGCTATCCAACATCATAGCTGAGCCTAGCCTACCTTAAATATGCTCAGAATGTTTACATTAGCTTACAGTTGGGCAACATTAACACAAAGCCTGTTTTATCATAAAGTGTTGGCTATCGTGTTCATTGAATACTATACCAAAAGTGAAAACCAGAAAGGTTGTATGTGTGCAGAATGATTGTAAGTCTGTCAGTGGTTTACCCTTGTGATTACGTGGCTGACTGGGAGCCTCAGCTCGTTGCCACTGCCCAGCATCAGGAGACAGTACTCTACTGCATATTGCTAGCCCAGGAAAAGATCAAAATTTAAAGTACAGTTTCTACCAATGTATGTCACTTTCACACCATTGTAAAGTCGGAAAACCTAAGTCAAACCATCCTGAATTGAGGACTATCTGTATTAAATAGAATTATGCCTCATTTGCTACTTCAAACCCTTTAATAAAGTATTTGGTGATGATAAGATGAAGTTCTGTTGTTAATAGGATAAGTTAAAGATAACCAAATTGAAATTCTGTGGCAAGTCAGGCTAAGATCATTAGAGGATTTTCTTAGAGGAACCAATGCAGTGCATGTTCCTTAAAAGGAAAAGAGGTGACCATAGAGGGTTCTAAAACTAGAAGGCCATCTGTATGTCTCTGTATGCGACCAATGAAAAAACAACAGACATCGGATTTGAGATGAGGTAAGAGTGAAGTATGCATTTGCATTCTGTTTTGATTGGTTTTCATTTCCTCATAACTTCTGAGATGGCAGAAGCCAATCACAAGGTTTCTACATCATTCTTAAAGATTTTTTATTTTTTTTTATTTTATTTTTTTTTTTATTTATTTATGACAGTCACAGAGAGAGAAGGAGAGAGAGGCAGAGACATAGGCAGATGGAGAAGCAGGCTCCATGCACCGGGAGCCCGATGCGGGATTCGATCCCGGGTCTCCAGGATCGCGCCCTGGGTCAAAGGCAGGCGCCAAACCGCTGCGCCACCCAGGGATCCCTTAAATTAATTAATTCATTTATTTATTTGAGAGAGCAAGTAGTGGGAGGAGCAAAGAGAGAGGGACAAACAGACTCCGTGCTGAGCACAGAGCCCATTGTGGGGCTCCATCTCATGACCCTGAGACCATGACCTGAGCTAAAACCAAGAGTCAGATGCTTAACCAATTGAGCCACCACCCAGGTGCTCCCACATTTCTTACCTGCCTGGTCCCTGCCTCTCCTACCCACCCCCAGTGGAATGGAACTGGTGCATAAAGTTGAGGAAGAAGCCACTTTTCACTGCCTCCATGACTGGCAGTGCAAATATGGACAACAAAGATCTCTGTTACAGGGGCCTCAGAGCACCTTGGTTTCTCCTGGAGGCCAGGGGTAGGAGACGTAGACACAAGGACTGGCAACAGGCCTCAGCATCCAGACATGGACTAAAGTGGAAGGGCTGAAAGGAAATGATTTCGGAGAAAGGGAATTTTCATATATATAATTTTTGTCTTATGGGTAGCATGGCTTATCATCGACACTGATTTTATAGTTTGACAACCAAACATCGTTAAAGAGTCTACCTAAATTACATTGAAATTTATGTAAAAGTCTAATTTATTGAGTATCAACCATGTCCCAGCATGAGGATGGATATATATATATATACATACATATATATATGTATATATATATATATCTTATAGTCATATCAGCCTTGTAGGGGAGATACTATTTTTTTGAATTTATTTATTTTTTAGTGATCTATATACTCAACATGGGGCTCAGACCCATGATCCCAAGATCAAGAGTCTCACTCTTCCAACTAAGCCTGTCAGATGCCCAGGAAGATACTATTTATCCCTGTTTTATATTTGAGGAAACTGCAGTTTATACAGGGTTAAATAAATTACCCGAAATATAGCTAATAAGTCACAGAACCTAAGTCTAACATCTTGGAATCCTGTGCATTTCCCAGAGCCTTTCCACATGAAAATTAATATCTAAATCAATAAGTGACTATAATCTAGCACCATAATACTAAATAATTTTTCATGACACTGTACCAAGTCAGCCTTTAAATCATAGCTTTGCTTTTCTGTTCTCAGCTCTTAACTTGGTAGTCTCAGTTCTGTTGCCATTGGACTTGGCTCAGTAAATGAATAAATGAATGGATTTTCAGCCTTCTGAATGTGCTTCCTTACCAGCTGCTGCTGTATTTTATAGCCCTCATGTCAAGCATACAGAATATGACTATAAAGGCAAAGAAAATGAGGGTTTCGTTTTGATGTTTCAAATTTTAAATGCCCAAGTCTTTGTGGCCACCCAATGAAGATTATATGTGCCTGTTTATTTTTATATATATATATATTTATATTTATATTTTAAGATTCTATTTCAGAGCGAGTGAGCACATGAGCAGGGGGTAGAGGAGGGAGAGGGAGAAGTAGATTCTCTGCTGAGCAGGGACCCCAATGTGGAGCTCCATCCCAGGAGCCTGAGATCATGACCTGAGCTGCAGACGCTTAACTGACTGAGCCAGCCAGGCGCCCCCATATATGTATTTTTTAAGTAAATTCTGCACCCAGGGAGATCAAGAATCGCATGCTCTACCAACTGAACCAGCCAGGCACTCAGTCTGTAGTCAAGGGCTGCAGTGATGTAAAGGACATCCACACCCCCCAGTGTGCCTCCACACCTACCACCCTCTTACCATGAAGAGAAAACAGACCTAATTTTCTGTTTGCAGAATTAAAACTGCCTACCCCATGAACTTTTTTTTTTTTTTCAGCTACAGTTTGGTGACTTTTCAAATGTAAAACATAGTACCAGGTTTAAACTTATGTAATCAACTGGTTTTCAAAACACTCGTTTGATTCCCCCTACCCCGTGCAACATTTCTATGCAGTAGACACGGGGCCAAGGTACCAGGCAAGTTAGGGACTGACTACTCAGCTTCTAATTCTAGCTACCTTCCACAGTTTTTTAAAAAAAGTATTTTCTCTTTTCTCGTAAGATCAACATTACAAAGATTTTTTTTTAAAAGAAAAATGTTAAGACTTTATTCAAGATATATATCAGGCATTATAACAAAACAGAACTTCAACCTTTGGAATACTGTAATTTTACACCCTTTGATGCACAGTCCAATATACTATTTTATTACAGATCATTCTATGGGG